ACTGTTTATTGAAAAAGGCAGCCAGATCATTTTGTGCCAGCATTATTGCATTTGTATTTCAAGGATACAAAAATAGAAAATCCAGACCCAAATCTAAATCTTTTCTTCTAGCATACAAAGAAATATATCTCTTCTTTCTTCCATCTGATCACTCCTGATATCTGTGCAGTAAATATGGATTAGATAAGAGCACAAACACTAAATTTCTTTTGTTGCTTCTAACTCATAAAATTATTATTAGGTGTGGGTAAGAAAAGAGCCTTGGCTGTGCACACAGGGCTGCTTAAGGTTGGTATTGTAAATGAAGGAGGCACACGTGTGTGTGTGTGTGTGTGTTGTGTGTCTCTGTGTGTGTGTTAATCATCTAAGTTCAAACTGTCAAGTGGCAGGGGTGGGTCGGATGGGCAGAACTCCTTTGTGAAAATGCTGCAAAATTCAATGGCCTATTGAGGAAAATGCTATGATTTCCTAATATTTCAATGGTGGAGAATTCAGCTCGGAGTTATATATTGTTTGCTAAGGAGAGAATCATTAGGTTAGTATCCGATTTACTTAACTTGGGACATTAGTGGGGCTAAGCAACTGAGAAACAAATAACTACCCAGATTTATAATTCACTGTGCTGAAATTGTCTGTGAAAAATGCTGAGAAAGTCCCAATTTAAAGTCTGCTTTTATTTTGGATAAAGTGAGAGAAGCCACATGAACTGAACAGCTTATGGGCTTGTCACCATTTATACAGAATTAGATTATGGCATGAACATCTGTCATAGATAAAGAATAGAGATAAGAGGTAAAGGATAGTATATCTTTTAAAATCAATTAGAATTATTTGTCTATTTGGACTAAAATGTCTTATTTTCAATAGTAAGTACATCAGATTCAATTTAAAAATTAAAATATTATCTGAAGGTGTTCTTAAACTTTGTATCTTACTTTAAACATGGGGATTTATTCTCAGTTGATATTCTTTAAAAACAATTCTTTGTAAATACTTTACAGGCATTAATTCAACTAACCGAGTTTTAATTTGCATAATAAAGCTATCAACTTGATTCTAGTGACCATGTGAAATGTTCTTACTTGTTTTATCTATAATTCCACTAATTTTGAAGAAAAGATTTATAAATGTCCATAAAATGGACCTACAAGTGTTATTTTCAAATAGGTTTTTTTGCACCAAGCATTTTCTTTCCATGGCGTTTACTTGGATCACGTCCTCCAATTTAGTAAGTGGAGGAACAGACACAAAGAAAGAATAAAAACAAGTATTTCAGAGCTGATGAGAAATAGAACCCCTCCAATTTCAGTGGCTTTTCACTCACACTGGACAACATCCCTTTTTTCTCCATGGTACTTCTCAGCAGCATTGCTGGCTAAATGGTATTCTCATGACAGCACAAGCCTGTTTCTCCTGTGAATACTTCACCAGGAAGTGAAGAGTGGGCTGATTTCATGTCGTATCATCAGACTAGAGTCCTTGTCCAGTTTTCAGAGTTTTGTAGCAGCTACACAGGGGGAAATTGAGCCATTTGTTTTCGATTTTTCATGTTCCTGGCATTTTATGCCAGGCTTCTGTATGGACCTAAAGATGAGTCTCTGCCAGATACTGACAATAAAGTACATGGATTAGAGACGAACAGAAGCCTTTCAGCTTCTGAAGGGCTTATCCACTTATGTCTGGGCTTTCTGTATTAAATGTCAATGAAAACATTCGGGTAGCAATTACTGCCCTGGACTTCTGCTAGAGGCTCCTGAATTCAAGGATCTTTGACTCTTGACTAGTGAATTTCATCTTTATGGCACCGTTAAGCAACCTGTACTCTTGTTCAGACTTTCACAGCTCTCTCTTAGCTCTCGTCTACTAAGAACTCACATGACTCACCCCTAGTAATCAGCCAGGCTCTATCATGTTCACAGTGCTGAAATACCTCCCCCCAGGATCAATGTCTCTAGAATAATATTATTCAAATTTTCTCACCAAAGTACCCTTAAATAAAGAGGAGAGTGAACATATATTTCTACACAGTATAGGGGAAGAAAATGGAAGAAGTTTGTAGGCCAAATTAAAAGGTGATGCTAATGACATGTGAAGATATATCCCAAAGTCTAATTTTTAAAATTGTTGCAATTTACCTTGTAAATTCACATCACAATTTAACATTTAAGCCTATAATACATAGGGCCAAATTATATGATACAGTACATAATTTTACTTTGACACTGTTTAATAATATATTAATATAGAACACATCAATATGTGCGATAATGCATTTCTTACCATTTCCATATAAAATATTTCCCCTAAATATTTGAGTAAAAATAATTGTCCAGGATGTTGTACTATTTTTATCCAGTGTTTTTTTTTTTTTTTTTTTTTACTTTTATTACATACTCATATCCACCCAACTCATATCCCAACTCATATCCACCACTACCCAGAGGTATAAGGAATGTATGATGTAAAACAATTGTCTTATCAGGACACTAGCTAGTTAACTCAATTGCCTGAAACACTTGCACAGAGGCCTAAGATTTTACATTTTTGTGCAGTTTTTACTTTTAATATAGTACATCTGTTTCATCCCTTCCCTCTTTAAAAATATCTATAAGGAACAGCAGAGTAAATTCACAATTAGGAGCATTGTCAAATGTAATTTCTTTGGAAGTGAGTCACTTTGTCTTTTAATAAACTGTATGGAGGTGAGAATTGCATGCAAAAAAGGAAAATAAATCTAAAAAATAATGGAATATAGTTAAATCAATATTGATTATTTAGAGTGAAAATGTTTTATGGGAGGCAGTAAAATCTTTTAGGATTCCAGTGGGAAAATGTGGATGTAAAAGTAAAATAAATTACTACAGTTTAATCACGTGGTAAATAACTAAAATACTGTTGCTGGATTTATGGTGTCAGAGAGCAGCCTCCTATGAAATATAGAACATATTAGTGATTCAGGTGTGATGGATTTTAAAGAAATTGTGTAAGAACCATTACTGTCTGTATAGCTTGCCCTTAGCATTTCTCTTCATGAGTCTACCCTGCATGTGGGCCTATTTCTAAATGTCCTGTGTTTGTCAAACAATACATTTTTATTTAAAGGAAGTCCAGTGGATTCTGAAGTATCCGTTTAAGACCCTTATTCACCTGTGCTACTCACACTCCTGATCGTTTTTATTGAAACCTTTCATGATTCTACTTTACTTTACTCCTTTGCATCCAGGCCCAGTGCTTTGGCTGCAATCCCATGGCTGTATTGACTCCCGTGTGTTTTGTGGTGATGGCTATAGTTATAATTTTGTGCAAGTTGAGAAAAATAATTGATCTCCAGATATCTAACATTTTCTAGCTCCCACTTGCTTTATCATGATAAAGCATTGATCTGGAGAAGTAGAAAAACTGGGCTAGTAATAGAGCCTCTCATCAAAACCATATGCACCATGGGAAAGTTAGATATTGACTCCAACAAAAAGTAAGGCAACACAAGCCTGGGCAACATAGTGAGACCCTGTCTCTTAAAAAAAAAAAAGTAGCAGAGCATGATGACACACACCTGTGGTCCCAGCTCCTCCAGAGGCTGAGGTTGAAGGAACGCTTGAGCCCAGGAGACTGAGGCCACAGTGAGCCATGCACTACAGCGTGAGTGACAGAGAGAGACCCTGTCTAAAAAAAAAAAAAAGCCAACACAACACATTTCCATTATCCCTCTCATCAAAATACTCTTCTTCTACTCTTCGAAGTTCTTTCATTACTCAACAATTCTGACATTTTAAAAACTTTTTCTTAACATTTTAAAGATATTTTTTGCTTCCTTTGTCCCATTTTTCATAATTGACTAGAAAATAGGGAAATATTTTAAGTCTTACTACATTGTAAGTCATCAATAAAATGTTTTAATCATATTAATTATATATATTCAGATATTTATATTAAAATAACAAATACAAGAAAGTACAAAATGATAAGAGCATGATGTACAGAGAAGTTAATATTGAATTACAACATAGACTCTTTCTCATACTACATTTAAAATCATTTTCTTGTTTTCAGTAAACTTTACGTTTTTTCTCATGTGTGATATTTCCTTTGCCAAATTACTTTCCGTCAGATCAAACCACATAAGACTGCCAATATCTAAGTGCATCAGTCAGGGTTCAACCCAGAGAAAGAGAACCAACAGGAGATATACATTTAAAGATTTATTGCAAGGAATTGGCTTATGTGATTGTAGGGGCTGGCTACGCAAGTCTGAAATCATAGGGCAGGCAGCCAGAAAGGGCAGGCTGGAACTTGCAGCACAGGCTGAAGCTGCTGTCCATAGTTAGGATTGCTTCATCAGGGAATCTTCAGCTCTGTTCATAAGGCCTTTCAATTGATTAAATGAGGACTATCCAGAATAATATCCCTCACTTAAAGTCAACTGATTATGGACTTGAGTCACACTTACCAAATATCTTTGTAGGACACCTACATTAGTGTTAGATGGAATAAATGGGGGTTGTAACCTGTCAAGTTCACTCATCCAAGGACCATCATATGAACCTTTCCGGACTACTAGAAAAAGCAACTAGATGTGATTTGACTGAATTGTTAAACATGGCTTCCAAGATGCTTCCTGTATCTATATAACTCTCCTATTTTAGGACTTAAAAAATGCCTTGAAATTACCTTGGACCCATCAATGGGAAGACATTGGATAGCTTCTTAGATTTTTCCATGGCCCTGAATCATATTAGAATGTTTATTATTATTCCACATGAAAGCCCTTCAGTTTTTTGAAAGGCTGCTTTTAATTAGTCTTCTCTTCTAGACATGACCAGCTTCATTAATTGGGCCTCAAGGGAAACCTGTACAGTGGTGACTAAGAACATGGCTTTTGAAGACAAATGAGAATTCAAAACCACTATCTGTTCTCTGTAACATAAGTTACCTTGGACAAGCCACTTAACCTTGCCTAATTTTATATTTCTCACCTATACAGCAGAAATGTTAATACATACCTTATAAAGTTGTCGCAAAGATGAGGTGGTGTCTTAGTCCAGATTTACCCTAGAAACAGAGCCTGCGACAAGGGTATTTGTGCACGTAGATTATTTTCAGAAGTGACCACAAGAAATTGGACTGTGAAGAGTAAAACAAGGAAAGAGGAAATGCTAGTCCAAGGTAAATTCTTATTCCCATATCTACTAAGGGCAGCTGGGAATTGATCCTATTGGAGATCCTGCTAAGTGTCCCCAGGATTTTCTGCTTCAAGGAAGAGGGTAATGTTTATCCTCTAACTCCCACCTCTCACTGGACATAGGCTATTAACTCCTTCCCATTTCTTAGTTGCCTCAGGCATCTCACATCGAAGTATTAAAGGAGATTTGTGTTGCATGATGAGCCTGAGATGAGGTGCTATCAATAGGTTGTACCTGCATGCAGCTGTTTGCTATGATAAGAGCTGGAGTAAAGATACGAGAATAGGATACAAGGGAGGGCTAACCTGGTGCTTGAATCAGATGAAGTGACATGTGCAAAGTGTTCAGACTGGTAACCAGTATATAATACACACTAAATAAATGCTAGGATTTGAAAATACAGTAATGAGGTTGATGGCAACAATAATGATAATAGTGACAAGTATAATAGTAAATGCCATGGTTTTTAGATCATCCTGTTTTTTTGTTTCTAAAGATATGCTCAAGGTTATAAATCTCTTTAAAATGCATTTCTTAAAACAGAATTAACTTACTACAGATTAGTATGATCAGTTCAAGATAAAACAGGATTAGCATTTTACTTCTTGTGACCATATGAATTCCTATTATTTTATCTATAATTACTATTTTGGCAATAATGATACACTATATTTGTTACTTATTTTGAAGTTAAAATAATCCTTAATCTTTTTTTCCAAAACAAATATATTTTAAATATATTCCATAAGTGTCTTAGTTTTTGAACCTCTATTCAGGATTTTATGCTTATTTTAATATATATGGAAAATATTATATAGTAAAACAATGATTGGCTTTGAATTTTGCCTTTGCCATTCACTAGCTATCCAATACTGGTAAAATAACTGAACTTTTCTAAGCCTTTGTTTCTTGATCTGTAAAAGGAGAATAATATTGCCTGATTTCTTAGATTATTAATATATGAAATAATATATCGTGTATACAGGTGCAGAAATAAATATACACTAATTTTTATTTTGCTTTCTTTGCCCTTTATAGTTCTGGCATACTATTTCAATTTCACCAAGAACATTTTAAATTTTGATTTGTTATATAACTTATTAAGTTATTCATTCCAGGTTATTATTCACAATTTTGTAAGCAAACTCTTTATGTTTTAATTGATTTTCAAAACAGTTCTAAATCCAGTGTTCCTTTGTATCAAGGATAATCTTCACTTAATTTAATATACATGAACTTTTCTGGGATGCCTCTATTCAGCCAGCTTTGGTTTCATGTTACTCTAAATTCTCTCATCTTTTCTACTTAATTCACAATAAAATCATAGAATGGTATGTGTTAAATACCTTACAGAAAGTCCAGTGCATTTTTACTCTAGAGTTTGTATGCCCCTAAGCCTTGGAACATAAAAATAAAGAAAGCAATAATTTTGATTATTTTCTCATCTTGAACCAACCAAATCTCAAACTATATTTACGCACACAAAACGGCCCAGTTTTTTTTTTCTTTTTAAATAAACAATATCTTGACTTGGCAGCACTCACAAAAATAAATTACAAAGCAAAATTTTGACCCAAATTCTGAGAGTTAGACTTCTCACAACAGGTAATTTTTTGAAGGAAGATGGAGGATATGGTTTTATTCATTACTGTTTGTACAGTCCTCAGAAACTCTGAAGATCTAGCTGCACTTCTTGAATTAACAAGTCAAGGTACCAGCTTCGCTAAGGAAAGCTTGGTGAAAGTGTCAGTATGGGCAATGAAAAATTGCAGCTTAAAACTTCACAGTCTTAAAACAGATGTTAGAAAATGTCAACCCCGTAAACAATTGCCAGCATCAAGTGTTGCCTGACGTACTTGCGTCAGTACGTTTCCAGCATCATTAAGGTTATGAAATTTGCAGAGAGTAAATCTGTATTATTTACAGCAAAGGACACACCTGTATTATTCTTGTTTTTATTTTCCTGCCAAGTGTTGAGATAAATCAAGCCCCTTATACTCTGAGTCAATAGAAGCTTTATGGGCTTTCAATCATCAATGCTCGCTGCAGCGGCTGGAAAAATAAAGATGGTATCTGTGGTTAGAAAAAGAAGAGTCTCTTTTTTTTTTTTTCGCTTTTTATCCTGTGTAGTTTGAGGGCGTTTAAAATCACCATGTCATAATGAAACCATGTGGACCTAGCTAGAGATTGCTGAGCCATGGCATTGAGGTGGAAGTTAAGGCACTGAAGTGAACTGAGGAGGTTTATTGGATCCTCATCATTTGCAGATGCCAATAGCTACATCAGAACCAGGATCCCAACAGCTATAGGATGGAGCACCTTCAGGAGTTACCTGAAAGGGCAATAGACAAGTGTAATGATTTGGCCATCCTCAGATCCAGGGTGATGTAGCACTATTTGCCATTCCACTGTCTCTGTGATAGTCTGTAGTGAGCCTTACTTTCCCTTAGATATGGACAGTTTCTCTCCAGGAATAAATAGAGAAAGGGTCAAATAGAAATTATCTTTCTTTAAGGGATAGACAAAACAAACAAACAAACAAAACATGGATCAATGAGTCCCAATAATAGTAATAATGCTTAATGATATTCAAGGTTGAATTTATTGATTTTTGAATTCAGTATGTGTCTGTGCCGTATGAGAAGGGTGCAACTCTTATCTTCTTTCTCCACATAGGGAAGCAAAGGCTGATGGAGGTTAAGTACTATTGCCCCAGGTGATAAGCTATTGGGTGGTGCATTGAGGATTTGGATTCAGATCTAACTGTAGTCCTATTGTCTATATTCTGTTGCATAAAGCTAAGTGAAAGCGACTTTTCCAAACCACACCATCAACCATGAGAACTATTTTAGTCTCCTCAGTACATTTTATTCTGTCTTGTACTTTCTGCCTTCTTTGCTTGCCTCCTGCCTTGTCAAAATGCCTAACTCCCATTGACTCTCAATGGCTCTCTGTTAAACGCTGCCTCTTCGTAGAATACTTCCCTATGTCCACAGTTTAGGTCATGCTACTTTTTTGTGGGCACCTACAGAATCCCAGACTTATCTCCAGTATAACCCTGATTACTTGTTGTTCTTCATGAGATTCTGAGTCTCTCAAAGGCAAAGGAATTTATGTTTCACGTTAAATCTCCAGGGCTTAGCAGAATTCCTGGAACACAGTGTATACTTCGAAAGTGGTAGTCAAATGACATGAATTATCAATATCATGACCAAATCCTTCATTTAATATGGGCTTCCTTCTCTATCTTGAGAACTTTGTGTGTGTGTGTGTGTGTATATATATATATATTTGTTTTCATATGTTATATGTGTGTATGTGTATATTTGACCTCAGCATTTTATTTTCTATTTTGTTCTTTTAGTGACTTTTGCTAATTTCATAAAAGGGAGTCAGATTAACATAGAAATGAAATCTGGACAAAATTAGTTGTTTAATGATACTAGACCACACACACACACACACACACACACACACACAAAACCCAAAGAAACCTCCTTTTCTTTCCATTTTAACTCTTAGCAAAGGCCTTGATGCTATCATCTTGGCTGCTATACTTTCTTCTTATCCCTTATTTTTCTCCTTTCTTGTGGCTGCCATTGCTAGTTCAGTATGAAGACACATCCCTGATTAATAGATGTGTCAAATCAGTCATCATCAGACTGTAGAATCTTGGTTACCATTTATTAATCAATTAATTACTTCAATCAAAGATGCCTATATTGGCACCCTTGCTACTATGCCTGGTGAGCCAGGGCTCCATGAAATCTTGAGACATTTGCTAAGATCATTAGCTAGAAACCCTGAGTGGATTGATGGTGTGCCGGGAAACATCAGTTGGAAATAGCTATTATATCTTGTTACCCCTTAATATACTGCTTTGATTATATTTTTATTGACATTAAACTCATTGGGAACTTTTCTTGGAGTAGAAGTTGATCTCTGTGAAATTTCATGATCAATGTGAGAAAAATATTATATATATATATATAGTTTATAAATACACATATGTGTGACAAATATATAAAATAGGTGAAAAAAGCTAACTTAAAACTTGCATTGATTTAATGATATTTATGAACTGCGTAATACTTTTTCCCCTATTGACAAAAGCACTTTCATGCAATCTGGTGGTTTTTTTACAGCATTCAAGGAGTGTTCAGCTTTTAGATGTGTAATTATCATACCTAAAAGCAAGGTACAACATCTGGAAAGAGGAAAGGAGCAACAACGAACAGAAGTAGAAGCTCATTTATTTCCAAGCTGGAAGGTGGTAAAAGGAAAATACAATATTCACACCTGGGTGTGCAAATCAATATCTATTACATTCCATTCAGAATGCTGGCAGCCCCTATTATAAGAATTGTATGAATGTATAAGATAACTCTGCCACAGCCTTTCGGTGTTATCGTGACAGCTGTATGATGGAGCACCTTGCATCTAGAGCAAGGAAAACTTGGGCGCAATAAGGCACGTTTAACAGGATTTTACTATATATGTTTCGAGCCAAGTAATGAAATACAATTTCATATCATCCAATCACCATTTCTGCTGCTGAAAGAATAACTTCTGCCTTGGGAAATACGTTGCAAGAAACCACTGCACTCCTTGTGTTTAGGGACCGATGATTGAATTAGGCTTGTAATACAGGTAACTATAACTTAGAGGTAACCAGATAAGAGTATAAGTAATGATATTCATTTGAGGTATACATTGCTAAAGGTTGGGGACCTCTACCAGGAAAAGCAACTGCCAAGTTGCTTGTCTGGTTTTATTAAAAAATAGTTGTCAAACCCTGAAGGACATCTTTCCTTCCTTTTGTCAAGGCTGGATTCTTTCATAATCAGTGTTCTACTTGTGTCTCCAGAGATAGCTGTTGTTTAATTATGTATTGCCTAAATATTATCTTGACAGCATAAATAATATATAGGCAATTGGTCTGGGATATCTGTACAGTCTGGAAAGGTAATATTGATCAGAGCTTCCTAGACATAACTGCTTCTGCATCACCCAGAGCTGGGGAACACAGCACAAGTTTTATTACTTGATGAATTCCAAGGAAAGGATTGACTTCTTTCTCCTGCTTGCTTGCCATACTCCAGACTAAATGTACGTCTATATATATACACACACACATGCACAGACACACAAACATGCACACACACACATATATTTCTTGATTGTAAACAAAGTATATGTTTATTGAGGAAACTTGGAAAATACAGGAAGTCATATAAAAAATTAAAATTACTCATATTCTCATTACCCAAATACAAACATTTTGTAACTATCATTCAATATTTATTCATTTATCAAGTATTTACTGAGCATCTACTGTACACAGGCAGTTTTCCATGTGCTGGAAATATATTAGTAGCCCAAATAGGCAAAAATGTCTATTCAGTGGGAGTGAGTCAATAAACAAATAATTGAGTAAACGTTGCAGTTGTTGGATACCCTCCACTTGGATATTACAGACACTGCTCTGTGTCCTAGCAATAGAAATTCTAAGGACGAGCTCCTTTGTCCTCTGACTTCTGATTGGGTTCAGAAAGTGGCAGGTACTGGCAGGAGATGAGAAGGTGGAAGGAGAGAGGCCAGGGTATGTATTCCTGTTGGGCTGTGGACTCACATGGCTTTGTTTCTTTGTACAGGCCACAGTTCCTATCTCTACAGTTACAACTTTCTTGTTCTAACAACTGCTCTTTTCTCTTGCCCCTTCATTCCCAGAAAACATTGGCTCTCCCATCATTGCTCATCCTGGAATGCTTTACAGTTTCTTGCTGGCTTCCCTTCCCTCTGTTCACACCCTTGTACAGGGTCCCTCCATTAAATACATCTCAATTACTATGGCTCTGTGTGCCACCCATTTCTGTCTAGGACCTTACCGGATGCATTTAGTAAGGTACAAAGCTGCAAATGCTAACTTAACATCGTGAATCGTAGCTCCCATATTTCCCATGTGTCGAGGGAGGGACCCAGTGAGAAGTAATTGAATCGTGGGGGTGGGTCTTTCCTGTGCTGTTCTCATGATAGTGAGTAAGTCTCATGAGATCAGATGGTTTTATAAGGAGGAGTTCCCCTACACAAGCTCTCTTGCCTGTCACCATGTAAGATGTGTCTTTGCTCCTCCTTCACCTTCTGCCATGATTGTGAGGCCTCCCCAACATTGTGGAACTGTGTGTCCATTAAACCTTTTTCCTTTATATATTGCCCAGTCTCAGGTATGTCTTTATTAGCAGTGTGAGAACAGACTAATACAGCTAAGGAGAAAAGTAAACAAGGAAAGGAGATGGAAGGTTTTGAAGGCCTTGGTATTTTAGGTGGAGTGCTCAGAGAAGGCTTCATAGAAAAAGTGAATTTTTGTTGGGATCTGAAGAAAGCAAGAGAGTACACTCTACACACACTCACACAGGCTGACACAGAAACTGACAGAGAAAGAGAAAGGGAGAGAGAGAGAGAGAGAGAGAGAGAGAGAGAGAGAGAGAGATCATTCATTCTAGGCATGACACATTAATATATTACAAGAATAGAATCTGATTTTGGCACACCATGTTCTATAACTTAACAGTGCGGGAGCATTTCCCCAAGCCATCAAATATGCTTTTATTTTTCAATTGTAATGGCTGTAGGGAGCTTCGTTTTAAGATGATAACATACTTTATTTAATTGATCCCCTGCTTTTAGACAATTACATTGACTTTACAACTCCATTATTATAAATGAACCCTGTTGACAGTTCTTACTTTCTGAAAGCATTTTACCAAGTTTCAGGGGCCTACTGGGTCATCTTTCAGGAGTCACTGTTTTGCTCTTACAGAAAATGGCAGAATGGGCTTGGTTCTGGGGACTGTTAGTGTCAGTCTTTGGGATAGATTCATCACTGGCGTGTAAAAGGGTAATTTCAGAAATGAAAGTGGGCTATATAATTACCATATTGAATAACAAGAAGCAACATCTGGAATAAGGGAAAATGTAACAAAGGGAGTAATACCCTTTTTTTTTTTTCATAAGCTATATGCTTGTGCAGTGAAATGGAAGTACAGTATTCA